CCTCGAATCTATTTTACCCTGTTCCTGGTGGGATTTAGAGCCAATTGTCCTGGAACGAGGAGTTTGGATGTTCTGGCACCCGGGATACACACGTGGGATACGTGGGCCATGGTGGGACATGTCCATCTCCTTCCCCAGTGGAGCAGCACCCCAACATCTCCAGGTTGTCCCCAGGGTGCTGCTATAAAAGGCTTAAATATCACCACCCCAAAGGACTAAAAAGCTTCATTTTAGGCTTAAACTCGAGTTTTTTAATGGGGGTTTCATTGGTTTCACTCTCCTTCTATGATCCAGGGGGACGTCCAAGTCCTGGGGTGATGTGGGAGGTGTCCCCATGGGATGCCATCACGCTGGGATGACATTTAGTGGGGAGGTGGCACGTGGTGGGGCTCGGGTTGGTCGGGGTGATGGTGGTGGGTGGCTCACCCCCCCACCCCAAAAAATCATGGGGTCCCAGCTTGACACGGATGGTGCTAGTGAAGGGAGGGGAGGACTTTGTAGAGTAGGGTTGATGGTTGGACTCGATGATCCCAAGGGTCTCTTCCAACCTGAATGATTCTATGAAGATGGGGTTTGGTGGCTCTTGGTTTGGGGGTTCATCTCCCCGGGAGGGGTAGAAGATCTGGTTGGCTTCATGCTGATACCCTCCCAAACTGGGAGCTACTGGGAGGAACTGGAGCACAGAGGATGCTCCTTTTGGGCCATGTCCCATTGGATCCCATTAGATCCCAATGACCCCAACCTGAATGATTCTATGAAGATGGGGTTTGGTGGCTCTTGGTTTGGGGGTTCATCTCCCCGGGAGGGGTAGAAGATCTGGTTGGCTTCATGCTGGCACCCTCCCAAACTGGGAGCTACTGGGAGGAACTGGAGCACAGAGGATGCTCCTTTTGGGCCATGTCCCATTGGATCCCATTAGATCCCAATGACCCCAACCTGAATGATTCTATGAAGATGGGGTTTGGTGGCTCTTGGTTTGGGGGTTCATCTCCCCGGGAGGGGTAGAAGATCTGATTGGCTTCATGCTGGCACCCTCCCAAACTGGGAGCTACTGGGAGGAACTGGAGCACAGAGGATGCTCCTTTTGGGCCATGTCCCGTTGGATCCCATTAGATCCCAGTGACCCCAACCTGAATGATTCCATGAAGATGAGGTTTGGTGGCTCTTGGTTTGGGGGTTCATCTCCCCGGGAGGGGAGAAGAGCTGGTTGGCTTCCTGCTGGCACCCTCCCAAACTGGGAGCTACTGGGAGGAACTGGAGCACGGAGGATGCTCCTTTTGGGCTGTGTCCCATTGCCAATGATCCCATTAGATCCCAATGACTCCAAGCTGAATGATTCTATGAAGATGGGGTTTGGTGGCTCTTGGTTTGGGGGTTCATCTCCCCGGGAGGGGAGAAGAGCTGGTTGGCTTCCTGCTGGCACCCTCCCAAACTGGGAGCTACTGGGAGGAACTGGAGCACAGAGGATGCTCCTTTTGGGCCATGTCCCATTGGATCCCAATGATCCCATTAGATCCCAATGACCCCAACCTGAATGATTCTATGAAGATGGGGTTTGGTGGCTCTTGGTTTGGGGGTTCATCTCCCCGGGAGGGGTAGAAGATCTGGTTGGCTTCATGCTGACACTCTCCCAAACTGGGAGTTACTGGGAGGAACTGGAGCATGGAGGATGCTCCTTTTGAGCCATGTCCTGTAATTACCCCACTCACCCCCAAGCATCCCCCCCTCCCTCATATAACCAGCTGCATCTCAGACCATTGATGCCGGCCACTAATTAGCAGAAACTCGTCAGGCGGAGGCCGTAACGAAGCCCTGGGGTAGCTCTCAGGGGACCGTGACGACCGGGGAAGTTTCCATGCGGGTGGCGTAGGCTGGATCCGGGTTATTATTTCTTTTTTCCTCCCTTTCCCCGTGCCGTCAGCGTTTATTTTAATTTTAACAACCAATTTCTGAGCCTGAAAAGGGAGGGGGATGATCCTGGGGAAACATATTTTGTTTTGTGTTTTTTTTTCTTTAATTATTTAAATATATTTATTTTTTTATGACTTCATTTCCTTGCGGCAGATGCGTAAGGATTTCCTCCGGAGCAGGAAAAACCCTTTATTTAGTGGTTTTTAGCATCATCTGTTCCTTCCTTTCTCCTGCTCCTTGTAGGGTTGGTCCCTCTGGGATTCGGGATGGAGTTGGGAATTTCAAGGGAAGGGGGTGATGCCATAAAACCCCCGATAAAACTTTTTGGGGGGGTGGCAGGGGACCTGTCAGGGATATTTAAGCAGATGCCTTGGAGCATCCCCCTTGGGGGGGGGTAGGGCCCCCAAATCACTTCTCCACCGGGATTTTCCATGGAGGGTGATCCCGCTGCTCCCCCTTGGGCAGGTCTCCCCCGGCCATGAAGAGGAGCGGGATGTGCTGGTGGCTCGTCACCATCCTGGGGGTGAGTGTGACCTCGTCCCTCCTGTTCCTCATGTTCTTTCTCCTCCTTTTCTCTCCTTCCCTGAAGTTTCTTTTCCAGGGCAGGGGGTGATAGGGAATGTCCCATGTCCAGGAGATACTCGTGGGATGGACCCTCTGGTTAGCCCAGGGTATCATTAGAGATTGATATGGGGTTGGAAGGAACCTCTGGAGATCATCCAGTCCAACCCCCTGCCAGAGCAGGGCCACCCAGAGCAGGTCCCACAGGAACGTGTCCAGGTGGGGTTTGAATGTCTCCAGAGAAGGAGACTCCACCACCTCTCTGGGCAGCCTCTGCCAGGGCTCTGCCACCCTCGAAGAGAAGAAGTTCCTCCTCAAGTTGAGATGGAACTTCTTATGGTCAAGTTTGTGCCCGTTGCCCCTTGTCCTGTCCCTGGGCACCACTGAGAAGAGTCTGGCCCCATCCTTTTGCCTCTTACCCTTTAGCTCTTGCTCAGCATCGATGAGGTCCCCTCACAGTCTGTTCTTCTCCAGACTGAAAAGCCCCAAATCCCTCAGCCTTTCCTCAGCAGAGAGATGCTCCAGGCCCCTCAGCATCTTTGTAGCCTCCGCTGGATTCTCCCCAGCAGTTCCCTGTCCTTCTGGAACTGGGGAGCCCAGAACTGGTCCCAGTGCTCCAGCTGGGGCCTCCCCAGGGCAGAGCAGAGGGGCAGGATGACCTCCCTCCACCTGCTGCTCACACTCTTCCTGATGCCCCCCAGGATGCCCTTGGCCTTCTTGGCCACCAGGGCCCATTGCTGGCTCCTGGGCATCCTGTTGTCCACCAGGACTCCCAGATCTTTCTCCTCAGAGCTGCTCTCCAGCAGGTCAGCCCCCAACCTCTCCTGGTCCATGGGGTTATTCCTCCCCAGGTGCAGCACCCTACACTTGCCCTTGTTGAACTTCATTTAGGTTCCTCTCCACCCAACTCTCCAGCCTGTCCGTGTCTTGCTGGATGGTGGCCCAGCCTTCTGCTGTGTCACTCTGTCCCCTCACCCGGGTCATTGATGGAGACTATGGGTTTGCATCCAGCACGTTGCTGGCCATGGGTCCCCCTCTGCCACGTTGTCCATCCTGGGACCTGAAACCAGCAGGAGAACCGGAGAAGCTGGTGCTGAGCACCTCTCTCTGCTTCTCCCACAGGTGTTGAGCGGACCCAGCGCGGGAGGCAGGAGCTGTGGTCCCCAAGACCATGGGCCACCAGGATGTCCACCTGGAGAGGAACCCAGCGGGGTAAGCTGTGCCCACCCCTGTGCCCCCCATGCCCGAACCCGGTGCAGGATCTGGCCATCATCACCTCCCCCATCCCTCCATCCAGGCGTGTGGCTCGGCGCGGGGGCCAGTGGGGACATGTCGAGCTTGTCCCCCCGGCACCTTCTCCCCAGGAGACGTGTCCTGCTCCCCTCACACCCACTGCGGGGCCAGGAACAGGATCCTGGTGGCACCGGGGACACCGGTGACCGACAGCCACTGCGGAGCCTGCCTGCCAGGGTG